GACATCCAAGCAGATAGATGCACACCTATGTTTATCGTAGCTTTGTTCACAATAGCAAGGAGTTGGAAACAACTTAAGTGCCCATCAACAAAAGAATGGATAGAGAAGCTGTGGTATATTCGCACAGTGGAATACTACACTGCATTGAAAAACAAGGAATTCATGCAATATTATTCAAAATGGATGATCCTGGAGGACATTATGCTGAGTGAAATGTCTCAGTCACAAAAGGACAAATACTGAATGGTGCCACTGTTGTAGAATGAGGCTGACATCAGGGTTGGGGTAAGACCGAGAAAAACTTGATAAATTATGTATGCTGCATTGAAACTGATGAGGGAGAGAACAGTTTAAAAGCGATATATGGTAGGTTATTATGGTTATCACAAGAGTCCAGAATTAAGGTTGCATAGTGGAGTGTACTCGGGGTGGTGGGGGGTGGGGTGCGGGGGGATTGTATACCAATGAAAGAATTTTTCTTTTACTTTCAGACAGAGGAGTGGACTTGGGGGGGAGGGGTGGACAGGGAGAAAAGTGCAGCAATGAATGAATGGAAATCCAAAATTTCTGTACATGTTCATTAAAATTAATAAAATAAAATTTTAAAAAAGAAATACCATTTGATCCAGCAATTCTACTACTGCGCTTATACCCTAAAGAAACCAGCACTTTCATCCAAGCAGATATATACACATCTATGTTTATTGCTGCTTTGTTCACAATAGCCAAGGCTTGGAAACAACTCAAGTGCCCATCAACAAATGAATGGATAGAGAAGCTGTGTGTATTTACACAATAGAATATTATACAACACTGAAAAACAAAGAACTCATGAAATAATACACAAAATGAGTGACCATGGAATACATTATGCTGAATGAACTATCTCAGTCACAAAAAAGACAAATACTGCACAATGCCACTGTTATAAACAGGGCTGATGTGGGGGTTGGGGGGAAACTAAAAAAAGGGGATAAATAATGTACACAGCATTGAAATAGATGAGGGAGAGAACTGTATAAAAGGAATATGTGACTAGGTATTACTGGCATAAAAAGAGTCCAGAATAAGAGTTGCATAGTAAAGTGGTCAGGGGTGGGGAACTACATAACAAAGAAATTTTTTTCCGAAGAAAAAAGTGAACTTAGGGGGAGGGGGCCAGGGAGGAAAATGTGTAACAATGAATGAATGGAAATCCAAGTTCTTTATAAACTTTCATTAAAATCTATTTTTTTTAAAAAAAAAAGGTATGGGGATAGGATGCATTCCTGATTTATAGCTTTTCTGGTTTTGAAACATGTAATGTTTCCTTGCTGTGTTCTGACGAGTGCTTCCTGGTTGAAGTATAGGTTTTGCATGAGCACAATTAAGTGTTCTGGGATTCCCATTCTTCTCTAGGTTAGCCAAAATTTGTTGTGATCTACAGTCAAATGTCTCTGCATAGAAAATGAAACACAGACATTTCTCTGGTACTCCCTTCTTTCAGCTAAGATCTACCTGACATTGGCTATAATGTCCTTAGTGCTTGTGCATCTGGAAGTTCTTTGGCAGTGTACTGTTTCTATCATTTTTGGATAATCTTCAGTAGGATCTTGCTTACATGTGACATTAGTGATATCGTTCAATAATTTCTGTACTCTGTTGGATCACCTTTTTTTGGAATGTGAGTAAATATGTATCACTTCCAGTCAGTTGGTCAGGTGGTTGTCCTCCAGATTTCTTGGCACAACCTAGTGAGCGCATCCAGGCTTCATCTGTTGTTGAAATATATCTATCAGTATGCCATCAATTCCTGGGGCCTTGGGGGTTGTTTTTGCCAATACCTTCAGAGCAGCTTGAACTTCCTCTTTTATCACCATTACCTCTTGATCAGATGCTGTTTCATGAAATTCTTCTGTGCCAGCCAATTCTTTTTGGTACAGTGACTTTGTGTACGCCTTCCATCTTCTTTTGATGCTTACTGATTCATCCAACATTCTGCCCATAGCATCCTTAAGTATTGAAACTCAAGGCTTGAATTTATTCTTCAGTTCCTTCAGCTTAAGAAATGCAAAGAGAATTCATCCCTTTTGATTTTCTAACTCCAGTTATTTGCACATATCATTATACTTTATCTTCCCAAGCTGCCTTTTGAAATATGTTCAGTTCCTTAGATTCTTGATTTCTTTCCTCTACTTTGGTGCAATTTTTCAGAGCCTCTTCTGACATCCATCTTGGTCTTTTCTTCTTCCTGTGTCTTTGTAATGATATTTTTCCTGGGTGATATTCTTTATATCTTCCCACAGCCTATCTGGTCTTTACTCATTAGTGTTCAAGGCCTCAAACCTGTTCCTGACATGGTTTTTAGATTCAGGTGGGATAGACTGAAGGTCGAATTTTGGTTCTTGCGGATTTTATTTAATTTTCTTATCTTCAGTTTGGATTTGCATATGAGTAGTTAATGGTCTGTTCCACAATCAGCATCTGGCCTACATCAGCTGATATTGAGCTTCTCCAGTGATTTTTTCTGAAGATATAACCAGTCTGATTCTGGTGTACACCATTAGGTGAAGTCCATGTGTACAATTGCCATTTGTGTTTCTTGTAAAAGATATTTACAATAAAGAAATCACAGATTGTTGCAGAATTATATAATTCTATCTTCAGCCTCATTTCTGTCATCAAGTTCCTGTTTTCTGACTACCTACCTTCTTCCCTATTCCCAACCTTTGCATTCCAGTTGTTCATTATTATTATTGCATCTTGGTTCAGTGTTCGAGTTTGTAGAAGCCCTCTATTTCTTCTTCTTTGGCTCTGGCTGGTTGGTGCATATATTTGAGTGATGGTGGTACTAACAGGTCTTCCTTGTATGCATATAGATATTATCCTGTTATTCACAACATTGTATTTCAAGATGGATCTAGATATGGTCTTTTTAACTATGAATGTGACCTCATTTTTCCACACTTTTTCATTTCCAGCATAGTAGATCATATGATTGTCTGATTCAAAATGTCCCATGCCAGTCCATTTCATTTCACCAATGCCTAGTATGTCAATATTTATGCATTCCATTTCTTTCTTAACAATATCCAATTTTCCTACAGTCATACTTCTCACATTCCATGTTCCAATCACAAGTGTTTTTTTTTTTTTTGCAACTATTCCTCCTCTTTGGTGATTCCCAATACAAAGGTTCAGTCTCTGGTGCCGTATCTGCTTGTCTAATCTACATGTGCTCTATTGTTCACAGGGGCATTAAGACTCTAAAAATAGTATGAAGAAGAAGATGGAAATGATGGGATGATGAAGAAGTTAGAGAGAGTTTGTGGAGCAGTGAGTGACACATTTGCACACTCCCACACCACCTGTTTGGGCATAAAAGCCCTCCTGGAGTAGGCTTAGATCCTGTTCCCCTTTTCCTAGGATCTTGTGATCCCACTCACAGTGCTATACTAGCTCTGCCCTATATTCTCTACGACATAACCATGTACTATAGCCCCTAGGTTCTCCCCTTCTCCATTGTTCTCCTTACCAAGTAACTCAGGCTCTGGGTTCTTCAAGAGAGGCACAAAAGCTCTATAGGCATTCTCAAGTCGAGTTCCTGCAAACAAAACAATGTGCTATCCTCAATCCCTGTCTCCTAGTCTCCATTCTTCCAAAGCCCACACTTATAAGACCTTAACATATAGGATTAGGTATTATTTTCATGACAAGACTACAGAAAAAGAAATGCATAGTAAAGTGGACTGTGGACTTGGGAGGGGATTGTATCACAATGAAAGAATTATTTTTTTTCTTTTCAAAGAGAAAATATGAACTGGAGGGAGAGGTGGGCAGGGAGGAAAATATGCAACAATGAATGAATGGGGGGAAAATTAAATGGAAAGAATATGCTGTAAAAAATTTACTTTGAGCTGGTATACCTTATTTCCTTCCCTTAAGTCCATCCCTAGAATGAGGTAGGGAGATATAGTAAGTGTGAATCTAACCTATTATCATAGAGGCAGTACCCTTTCTTGGGTCGATAAAAAAATAGTCAGTTTGAAACTGTTAGCAAGTGCCCTATTTTAAGGACAAAGTTCATGATGCATCTTAAGGGTTTTACTCTATCTCTGCAGAATACCCCCAGTCCTCTACCTGGAGCCCCACGTTCCACTCTACAAATGTAGTAGGTGTTTCGGGCTGTAAGGAATTTGCTGGCATAGTCTCCAGGGGTCTTCATCAGGAAAAGCAGCTTCATTGTCCCCATTTCATCACACAAATCGATGGTGTCTGAAGGGAGGCCACAGTTGGTAGAGAGTTGTACTGCCAGCCCAAAGGCGAGTGGTTCAAATCCACCAGTTGCTCTGCAGAAGTAAGATAGGTAATCTCCTCCCATGTGATTTACAGCTTCCAAAAACCATTAGTTCCAACTCAATGAGTTTTGAAGGAAAGAAAGTAAGAACAAAAAAGGCTAGTGATCCTATACATAATAGATTTAGAAAAGCTGTGAGAATATGAGAAACTTGTTTCTTGCCAGGAGGAGGGTTTGGGGACTGAGGATGATTACTCTTCCTATCTTTGGGCATTAATACCCTCCCCAAACTCCTCACCTGTTTTAGACAGTCCCACTTTATCACGAGTGTAATGCAGCAATAAGAGAACAGAGCAATTAGTGTTGACTAGAAACTGCTGATTATCTGAAAAGAGATGGAATGGGACATATGAACCCGTCTTTGGTTATATAATGCCTTTGATTGTCATTACTATGTACCATTGAGTCAGAACCAACTCATAGGTGACCCTTCAGCAAGTTTTCAAGAGGATGTCAAATGCTTAGGAGGAAATTGCTCATCTTTCTCCAGAGGAGTAGGTGGTGGATTCGAGCTACATGCCTTTGGGTTAGCCACCCAACTCCTTACCACTAGATCACCAGAGCTCCCTAACACTTATGATTACTGCCTTCAAATCTCACCACCCTCATGCACAGACTCCAGTGTATAGTGCCCCTCACCTCCATATTTGATGACGATAAACATGCTTTTAAGATTGTCTCAATCTTCAGAGAGAGGGTGAACGAATCATGTGGAAGTAGGTTGTTTTAGAGGTCCTGGAGGCCAAATAAGTCCATAAGGTTGAGGGTTTGGAAGGGCAGATAGATCTCATGGGCTGAGACATTCCAGAGTAGGCATACAGAAGAAAGTTATTGGCAGTTGTGGATAACCAGTATCCCTAGGGGTGGGGCCCGAGACTGCAGTAGAAGCATTATGAGGTCAGAAGTGGTATGTGTGGCAAAGGGTGGAGGAAGGATAAGAACAAAAGAATTTGGGTAGAGTTGTAAGCAATTTATTGGTATAGTAGCAGTTTCAGTATTAAGCATTAGAGAAGCCATTTTATATATTAACATTTTGTTCTGGCAGCCATTTTAAGAAATATATACCCCATTAATACATTTTGTTGAGTTTATGTGTTCTAGTACAAACTGATCCAGCTTGATTACTACTTCCTGACTGCATACTGGATGTGGCCCTGGGCCTGGACACCCATAAGAAGTCAGAAACAAGTGTGACTCTGGAATATGGGGAAATTCCAACTGCCAATCACAATGACCTTTCTGTAACACCCATGCCCAATCTCTGTAATATAAACCCAATCTCTGCTTCCCCTCAGGGTCAGAATGGTTTGGACAGTAGCTGACATTCTCAATCCAAGTAGTAAAAGGTTTGTTAATCTCTGGTACTGGCTGAGTGTTTAAATCTTGCTTTTCTGCCACAACATTGTGAATGGCAGCAATGTGATAAATCTAACTCTAAAGTAGATCCTTGAATGAGGGCAGAATATTTACAGAAAAGCAATTTTGGGAACAGTGTTGTTGTTATTGTGTACCACAGATTTGGAACCGACCCTACGGTGGGTTTTCAGAAATGGTTAATCCACAGGAGGAGATTTCCCATCCAGACCAGCTGGTGGCCTCGAACTGTATGCCTTTGGAATTGCAGCACAGCTTCTTGCCACTAGGCCACCAGAGCTCTAATTAACTTTAATGCTACCCCTTCCACAGCAAGAGTATACTACTTTTTCCTACCCTCAGGACCATGTTTCATTACCACTTCCTGACTGCATACTGTACATGACCCACCCTTATTACACCTTATTCTTCCCCTGTTCCCATAACAGATACTCTTTTGTTTCACTTTTAACTTTATTTTATTTTTTAACATGACAGACATTCTTCTTATTATCAACAAAAAATTATTTCTCATTGACTCAGGAACAATTTAAGATTAAATGGGAAAGGGTGAAAGGGACAGAGGGAAAAAGAATCTTGAGCAAAGAAAGGGCCAACTAAGGGAGATGGCAAACAAGCTCTAGGTAAAGATAGAATTCTCAAAATAGAGGTTACTAAATTAAAAGGCAGTTATTCAAAGCATAAAATTAAAAATTACCCACACAGAATTGAGGTGATTAGACAAAAGAAGTTAGCACAATGTGAGGTTATAGTACTCCGGGTTTCTGTCATGGTATCAGGACTCAGGTTTCAAGGTGTAACATGGAGGGAGCATTGCTGGCTGCTAGATGAGCCTCCAGGTGCCTCCCCTAAGGCTCCTCCCTTTAGAGGAATTTCACTGACTTGACAGAGCCGTTCACTGTAGTCTGGCTGCAGACTTTCAGCTAATCCCTTGGACACTCCACTCCAGGCCTAAAGATAGATATCTTCAGGTCAGAGGTCAATTAGAAGCAGGAAGTAAAAGCCCAGGCTCTGTGCCAAAGAAGATGTCACAAGATCTGCAACTGCTGTGATTACTGAAGGCCACAGACCACTGGATCCCCAATATTATTGCTTCCATCTGTCTCACTCAATCTATAACCAGTTCTTTGTGTCTCTGTCTAGCCAATTGCCTGTTTGGCCACATCTTGATAGTTCAAGCCCCCACCCTCCTCCCCTCTGTCTGTCTTGCCAGCATACAGTCAGCAGCTGACAGACTGGAGTCTGTGTATGGCAATGTTCTCACCAAAAAGTTCCCATGGTATTCAGTAACTAGGTCCTCTAAGCTCTTGAGGGTGGGAATTCGGGGCATTGTCCTAAGTAAAGAGATAGAAAACAATAGCACATTTCTTTAATAACACACATATGCACATGCACATGCACACACAGTTTAAAGGGAGCTCTGGTGCTTAGTGGTAAGGAGTTGCACTGCCAACTCAAAAGCATGTAGTTTGAATCTACCACCTGCTCCACAGGAAAAAGATAGACAATCATCTCCCATGTGCTTTACTGCTTCTGAAAACTCACTATGAGTCAGTTTCTACTCTATAGTACACAACAGTAATAACAATATATGAGATATACACACACACACACACACACACACACACACATAATACCTCATTCCAAGGTCATCTTTTACCATGAAGGTTCTCTAAGAATCTGTAGGGAAATCCGGTACATTCTATATGACTCTTTTCCCAGTTTTTCAGTCTAAAATAAGGTGATTCTATATTCCCAGTGCCTGTAGTTTCCTGGTATTGCCATGCCCTCTTGGATGATCTCTCATACCTTATTATCTGCACTTTACTCCTCAACCCTGCAATTACCCTCCTCTACAATTAACACCCTTAGTACCAGAAGTAAGGAAATAAAGAGACATACTGCACTGGGAAAATCTGCAGTTAGAGACTTCTCCAAATTATTTAGGAGTAATGATGTCAGTTTGAGGACTAAGGTGCATCTGATTCAGGTCATGTTCTTTTGGATTACTTGCTGTGCATCTGAGAGCAGGACAATGAATAAGAATGACAGAAAAAGAATTGATGCCTTTGTGGTGTTGAAGAAGAGTACTGAACATTCCATAGATGGCCAAGAGAACAGATACATCTTGGAGAGGATGTAGCCAGAGCGTTGTTTTGAGGCAGGAATGATAAGGCTTTGCCTCACATACTTTGAGCATGATGCTAGGAGGGGCTACTCCTTGGAGAAGAACATGATACTGGGAAAGGTGGAGGGTCAGCAAAGGAGAGGAAGATCCTCAGCCAGGTGGATTGACATGGTGACTGCTGCAATGGGCTCTTGTGTGTCAGGAAGTGTGACGATGGTGCAGGATAGAGCAGGGTTCAGATTTTTTTGTTCATAGGGTCGCTATGAGTCGTACTCAACTCAATGGCACCTAACAACAACAACAACTATTCTCAACTACTCTCACCTCAATTTTCTCTCATTGACATTGAGTCAGAAACTGAATCACAGATGACCTTCTATTGGGTTTTCAGAGGCTATAAATCGCATAAGAAGAGGTTGCCTATCTTTCTACTGCTGGTGGATTCAAACCACTAGAGAAGTTCATTTTTTTGATTAGTAGTAGCACAACTCCCTAGGGTCTACATTACTAAAGCTCTCTTCAATTTCCCGGGATTACCCACATCTCACCTTTCCAGCCAGCAATACACAAAAATGAGGCTAATAATGAAACCCATGGAGCCAAGGGGGATAAGTGCAGCTTCCAATGCAAACAATGAAGGATTCTCTATAGAAAAGAGGAAAGGAAAGGGGATTTACTATTTGTGGTGGCTCAACTATGTATCAACATTTGTAGAGGCCTAGCTTAATGCCAGGAACATTTCCTCTATTCTTGATCCTCACAACACCTGAGAAGGAGCAACAGCTATTACCCCCCATTTCACAGATGAGGGAAACAGAATTGAATTGAAAAGTTAATGATGTGCCTGAAGTTAAATAGGTAGGAAGTGACAGAACTAGATTTAAACTCTCTATCTCTATCTCTATATCTGGTTCCAAAGCCATCTTTACCATTCAGGTTCTCTAAGAATCTGTCAGGAAATCCTGTACATTCTATAGCCCTCTTAAATGTCCTTCTGTCTCCTTCCTAACCTTCGATACTCCCACATCATAATAACACACTGACCCAACCTAACAGAAACCTTGCTTCCTGTGGGTTTGTGGTTGAATAAGGAGATGAAAATACCAAATTTAATGGGCTTAAGGGACTTAGGGGAAAGGAATTGGAAGCAGGAGTGGCATCCACTTCCTAAACAACATGCCTCTAAACTCTATAAATATCGATAGTTGTAGAGGAGCTTCAGGCCTTTTGTTCATAGGGTCACTATGTCTCGTACTCGACTCGAAGGCAATCAACAACAACCACAACAGGGGTAAGGAAGGGAGTTCTGGTCCATAGGGAATTTTAAAGCTAACCTAGAGGCTGCACCTCTCTGGTGGTTCAAATCCACCGGCAGCTCCGTAGGAGAAAGATGGAGATCTCTTCCCATTCAGTTTACAGTTCCAGAAACCCAGTGGAGGAGCAACTGTAAGTTAGCAATGAGTTTTGAAAGATGGGTAGGGACTAGAGCAAATAGCGGTAGTGTTAATAAGATAGGGTGGGTTGGGTTCTTGGATTGGAATCCTGTATTAGGTTCATTTTACCCTTTAATGTATTGCTCCCCCAGTGGATTGGGTGGCTCCATTCACTCCAGTGCTGAGCACTGCCACAGAGTGGGTTATGGCGGCTTCGAACACGAAACATGTAGCGTTTCTGCCCATCCACACTAGGCAAAGAGAAACTGTGTCTGTTGTCCACTGATTGTTCCTTGGGGAGGAAGACCAAAGAAAAGTGAATCTTTATAAAAGAAAGGAGAATTAAAACAAATAGCTGCTCCCACCCCAAAATTATCATCTGATTCTTCCCATTTCCTACCTACTCTATTTACTACTCAAGTAACACTGCTCCTTTTACTGACTTGAATCTAATGCCTCCTTTCCAGATTCCTTTAAAGACTGCCTTATATTTACTTGTCTACTACCAGGGAGAATATGGGTAAGGAAAGTATAATGAAAATCTCTGGTGATGATAGGGAAACAAGGTGGAAAGAATGTGGGGGTGGGCTTGAAACTGGTATACAGAGGAACTAGGAGGCAAAGGCATGTTATTAGGCAGTCCTATCTGATTGAATACTTTATCCCCACTTGCTTGACTTTAGCTGCTACACTCTTTCCCCCTTATCACTCACAGTCCAGCTGTGGTCCTGATCACTCTTGTACTGCACCAGATGTTCCAAACAATGGTCCAAGTATCTGTTGTCCCAGCTCAGCTCTAGCTGGGATTCACTCAGGTTGTGAAGTGTTAGATTTTCCGGAGCCCAGGGAATTACTGGAGATATGTGTACATGTGTGGTCATTTGCATAGCCTAAACAAATCAGGGTCCTAAAGATAGTGCCCCTTATCCCTCCTCCTTTCCCCATCCCAATCCTCTACCTCTTTTCTACCCAAGTAGCCTTCTGGTGAAAGAGTACCACTATATCCCACAATATCCCTGGATTCTTGACCATCTTTTTCCAAATACCCAGATCCTGTAGTTTTAGCATCTGTACAGCCTGCCTCATGGATTCTCTTGGGTCTTGGAGCTGAATGACAAATGTTTGATACAGATGGATCTCTTCTTTTTGAAACCAACAGCCAAAAGCAATCTCTTCAGAGTACAGATAGTGACCACATTCCTGCATTTTCTCATGATCCGAGTTCTTGTACCTAGAGAAAAATTAAAAGTTAGAGGAACAGTGGGGAAAATTTGGCTATTACAGATGTCTACTAACCCATCCTCATCTCTCTGATTTATTATTTGCCCCATTAGAAAATATTGAGAAGCTTGGATGCTAGTTACCCTCTTTCTTGGTCCTCACAGTCTCTCTTCTCATCCCGCCCACCCTTTCTTCCACCCATGTGCTACCCATTCTTCCATACCAATAGTGCAGAGTCAAGTTGATAGGCTGGGACTCAGAGCTGCTGTTCCAAGTGCAGTTCATGTACTCAACATTGAACACAAAACACTGAACCTCTGGGAGAGGTAGGATAGAAGCACTGAGAGACACAGAGGGTATAGAGGTCAGTGAGAAATCTAGATTGAGGAGAAAAATGAAGTAGGAGAGGGGAAGAGAAGAAATGACGGTTAGAGGAAGGAGTAGTATATGGCAGGACCCTGCCCTTGCCAGTCTGCTCTTAAATTCTGTTCACATTGTCCAACGGCAAGGTTCAGATTTCTGTATAGCTCTTTCTCACCAGCCCTCCTCCCCCAGTCCCAAATTCCTCACCAGTTGTGATGTCATCATTTTCACTGTGAGTGGGGGTCATCAAATTCAGGCCCAAACCCAGCAGAGGTAGCTGCAAGAATAAGAAGGGTCTGAAGAGCAATGATGGCTTCAGCATGGTGCTAACTCAGTTCCCTGGGTGTAGTCTGTATCAGGAACTTGGGCCCCTCACCCATTACCCCTCCCCGCCCACACATTTCCTTCTGTCACAGCTTCCGGTGGAAAGAACCTTTGAGATTAGGGCTTTACAGAGGGTGTGGCAAATGTATAGTGCCACTCAAGCTAAGTAAGTCTCCTTGGGAGTTTAGATGTCACTGTCTAGTGGCATTAAGTAGAGATTATGGCTAAATTTAATCTCTGATTATCCACTTTGTAGGTCATAGGGGGTTGCACTGTTAATGCAAAGGCAAAGCCTCCCTGGTGGTTGAAATTCACCAGTGACTTACCAGATAGAAAAGATGGGTAATCTCCCACATAATTTACAGCCTTGGAAACCCACTGGAGAGCCAGGTATGAGTCAGTTCTGACTTAAAGACGATGAAGTTTGCCATTTTGTCTTGCAATTTTTTTTTTAAGATGACTGGTTATACAGTATTGCTGCAGAACCAAGCCTCCCCAGACTACCTAGAACTTGGGAAGGATCTATTCACCTCAGCCATTATCCCCAAACACCTTCTCCTTATAGTGGAGAGTCTGAACTTTACCCCATGTATTTTCCCACCATATGCTTCTCTCTTAGCTCATTGTTGTTATGTGTCATCCAGTTTGGACAAACTCATAGCTTACCCCCTAGAAGACTTTGAGAGGCACCAAATTGCACAGGAGGAGGTTGCCCCATCTTTCACTGGTGGAGCAGCCATTGGATTAAAATAATGTAACTTTTAGTTGTCAAGGAAACTCTATAGAAAATACAACATTAACTCCTGTGAATACAAATACAGCTGTCTTTCCTCTTCTCTAGTCTCCCACCTTAGCTACAGCCTTTTAAGAGTGGTGAGGGAGTCTGACTTAGAAAGTAACTCTAGAAATGGAGAAATATCACAATACTAGTCTCAAACTCCTCATCTCCCTCCAGATCTGCTCCCCTTCCTGTGTTCCCTATCTTAAATAATGATATCATAACTCTCTCAATGTCCTAGACTTGAAACTTTAGAGTCATCATCATCTTTAAGTGTTCTCTCAACATTCTGAAAATTCCACCAGCTCCGTATCTATGGTGTGTCCCTCTCAGCAGTCTATCTATGGTGTCTCTGCCAACTATCATTGCCACTCTGCTAAATCAGGCTTTCATTATGTCTAGCCACCATTATTAGAGTCCACCAACAAAAGTCTCCTTTTCGAAAAATGGTATACTCTCAAATCCACTCTTCATCATATTGCCACATTTACCCACCTGAAAATATAAAAGAGCTGAGTTGAGGTGCTACTTACAGAAATACTTTATTTAGCAAATATTTATTGAGCTTTAACTATGTGGCAGGCACTGTGATTAATTTTTGAGACTATACCAAATAAGACATCCTCATCTTTTAGGGGCTCATAGCTAAGAGGGGATGGCAAACAAACAGTACGATATAGTATAATAAGTTCTATAACATAGATATGGAGATGCTTCAAAGTATGTAAACATAGAAAAAGAAGTCATTCAATTCATCAAGATTGTGGAGGAAGGGGGAAATTAAGTAAAGGCTTGGATGGAGATGAGCTAATTTGAAAGGAATCTTGTTGTTGTTGTTGTTATGTGCCGTCGAGTCATTTTTGACTCATAGTGACCCTATGCACAACAGCCCTAAACCCTGCTCTATCCTGCGCCAACCGCACTGCCTCTGACACACCCAT